CGGATTTAACTTCCAGCTCAGTTGACACACTGGAAACTATCCAATGCACGCATATCACAAACTTCACGGATTGCATAGCCATTCGATCAATCTTGTTAACACGGGTCTCTTGCTAAAAATTTAAAAGTCTTTGACACACTATCGTCTAGTAGCAAAGAAGAGTCATTTGCTAATTGGCAACCTAAACCAACCGACTTTTTGCGAACCCGCCTTCCTCTCTTTTCGATTATGTGTTCATGGCAGTTGATAATTGGGTAGTTATTCTTGCCGCAGACTTGCAACTCGGTGAAAACAAAAATACTGTCAGATTCATTTGAATTGAGGCTAGCTCGCGCATGGCAAGAAGATTCAGTCGTGCGGACGGACGAGTCTTCAAGTTCTGAGGAATATGGCTACCCGAAGACACCAGCTAACTTGACACTCAGAATATATAGTCGAAGTATAAACCGTGTGGGTTCACATCATGCCAAAATTAATCGCCGTATAATCTTGTATCTACAAAAATGGTTCGACAACCTCAAGGTTACTGTTAAACGAGTTCGCAGAAATTCTAAGGGTGTACTGTCAAAATAAACGATATATTTCGAGGGAAAAATTCGTCTGTCAATTCTAGTAACTAGAAAACTATGCAAAATAGGATCAGGAGCCTGACAACAGAATCAAGTTTGATGTCAGAATAGACTAGTAGATTCTGCTAGAAACCAAAAAAGCAACGCTGTCGTATACCCAGGCATGAGAGAGATTAACAATGACTCCTATAGAAAAGACAAGGAATAGGCCACCCCTGTGCTGGCTTAACAATTTTCCCAGTCATTCCACTTGGAAGATCGAAATATTACCTCAGTTTTTAATGGTAGGACAGATGTCGAGCATCGCCTACTGCAGTTTAAATCTAATAGTCTTGAGATGAGGCCCTGTGAGCAAGCCTTTGAAATAATTTATCACCCTAAGGCCATCATTCAGAAAACATATCATTCTATAACACCAGGAACAGGCCCTACGTATTCTTCCATAAATGAAGACATTTCGGTAGTGGACTACAAACTAGCACATAAATGGCTTTACCAATAAGGTGCGAAAAATTAGGAGGGTCACTCACCATATTTTACGTTGCTTTTTGGACGAAAACATAACAAAATTACTTAACAGAAAACCAGCCAGTACAGAAGACACTGAGTCCACCTCGGTATCATACAGACTTGTATCACAGTTAATTACCGAATAATCAGTGGGAATTGTGATTTAATCTAGCTTGAAATACTGCCGGCGCGATTAATTCTTCTAAAAAAATAGGACATTCGATGTACTTTTTTGAAATACGTCAAATACATTGTCAGCACATAGCTGCGTTTCACAAAATTCTTCGTTAGGATGGTCACACTTTTTAATCCACATATCACAAAATTTCCGATAGCTACCTGGTTTACATTAAAATGTGAAGCCAAACACGGGACCGAACTCTTATGCAAAAAATATTGCTCGAGGGTTTGTATGGATTGAACAAACGCGTTCTGTGTGTGCGCACCGCGACGAATAAAAAGGGCACGCCGCGACCCAAAATTGCGGTCGAGTCGTAAATTTCTGACATTTTAGTTCGTCGAAAACGATGACTGCAAGCTGCTGCCAAGACTCGATGGAAACGTTTCTTTATTTGCAGGCGCCTCTATCATTTAACCAAAGAAGCCTTTGTAT